ACTGTGTAAGTTTCTGAGCCAGTATGTAACAGGGCATCTCAGCGCTCCATACCTCAAAAGAATTCTGCTCAGTTACAGCAACACTGATTCCTGGGGCATGGATGAGTATTGCTGGGAGCAGAATGAGGCCCGTACAGCTCAGTAATGAAATACATTTTTCAGGAAGTATATTTATAAACAAAGATCTCAGGGGGAAAAAGAGCATTGCTTCTTCAATTGCATTTGCAAAGCTGCTACTTGGAAATTGGCACGACTCCGTCCATTCAAGGATCTTAGAAACAATTTTGTTGCATCACAAGCTGCAGTCGTATCTCTGAGGCTTTGAAAGCGAACACCAGTGTCTCTGTGAACAGGATGCTCTTTGTGAGTTCTAATTGGAACCAGACCTGTCTGAATGCTGCAGCCTTTGACATAACGTGACTAACCTAGGGGAGCGATTCCAGGCCTATCTGTGAGCAGTGCTCCTCGAAGGGCTGTCTGGGATAAAGGCGCAGCAGGAGGCTGCTCTGAACTTGGAAATGACTTTTTTTTTTTACACACTGGCAATATTGTGTGTGTGTGTTTCTGACAACATTTGGATGCTTCCTCTCCTTTCCCTAGCCTGGCTAGAGCTAGATGCAAAAAATATTAAAAATTAGGCTGTTCAGAGGGGGACTGGATGCTGTGTACTTAAGGTCCATGTTTGTCTTTGCAGCTACAGAACTGATGACTGCAAGAGGTGGGATAGGGAAGGATGTCAAGTCTTCTTCCATAAACCTGCAATGGAGAAGTGACTGATCTTGCTGAGAATTCAATTTTAGTTTTGCCGCTTGGCCATGAAGCGAATGTGCTCACATGTGCATTTGTTTCTGTGTTTTCAGTATAACAGTCTATTCCTTAAAGCCAATGGGCACCAAAAAAAACCTTCTCTGGAGGTGGGTGCTGGTGCCCATCTCTGTGTGGCACTCGTATTACTTCCTCACCAGTCTGTCACCAGCACTGCCTTGGCTGCTGTGAGAGGGGCATGTCTTAGAGGAGCAAGGTGACAAGATCCTGATGACGGTGCTCTGCTTTTGGCAGATGTTAGCTGGCCTCTTCCAAAAGCTGTTCTTAAGGACAACCTGGGGGCTGCTGCAGTGGCGAAGCGATTGATGAATGCATTGTCACAGCACTATGAAGGCAGGGTGAATGGTTTGCTGGGATCTCACCTCTGCTGCAGAATTGTTATGTTTTTGCTTTAAATTTCCCCTCTAGCCATCAGGCCTGTGGGAGGATTCTAAAAAATGAGACAGGAGTGAAAACCAAGAGCATGCTGGCTCTTGGCAGGAGTTGTGGAGTGTTAGCTCAGAGACCTCAGCACTGCTCCCATCTCTTCAGTCTGGTGGGTTTTGCACTCCTTTGGGCATGGAGCACCTCACTGCTGCAAGCTCAGCATTATTCTCCTAGAGCTTGTAGTTCTGATACAGGTGGGAGATTGGTTGTTTCTTTCTTTGTCCTGCTGAGGAGCTTCTTTGGAAGGCCCTTGGTGGGTTGTAAGCTGCTTGTGTGCTTGTTGGCACTCCATTTTCTCTAAGTTGAGGTGAAGTGAATTAGTACGAAGTTAGGTATGAGAGTGAATGTTCTTTGTCCATGAAGTGAGTGGTGTATGGAAATTCTTAAAATAAGGAAGAATGGAAGAGCAGATGGGCTCTGATCAGGAAAACCATAAATTTCAGTCTCAGTGTGTGTGCTGCCTCGTGGTTTGCTGTCGTTTTCCTTCAGACCAGCTCTGGGAAGTTAATATCAGCCATTAAAGCTTTGAGGTTATCTTCCCCCCTTTTCTCTTCTGGTTCAGAAGTGAATAAAGGAGCTTTGTGCAGTTCTTGAAACTGAGCCTGAAACAGTGCTGAACAAAATATAGTGTTCCTTTCAAGATCTTGGAAATAATTACATCATAGGCAAATTGGGCCAGGAACCGTTAATAGTATTCTTTGTGGAGTGAAAGCCCACGGGAGGACCTGTTTGAGCAGAGCAGCATTGTTTACAAACAGATACAGTGACAGGGGCAGTTGTCCCGTTCTGAGGGACAGCTGAGGTTGGTGCCATGTAATAGACTGCAGAATGGCGGCCAGCTCCTGCCTGCAGGCTGGGCTGTGCCTGGCGGCGGAGCGGATGCTGGAGAAGTCCATGGAGGTGGGCTGCAGGGCAGACAGAGCCTGCGCTGCCGTCAGCTCCTGGCCTGCTAGGGCTGTTTGTGTGGGGGAGAGCGGGCTGTCAGTCTGCTCAGAGCACCTCTGTGGTGTGCAGGGATGTGCAGCTGAGTGCACAGCAGCCCCACTGCGGAGGGAGGTTGGGGGCACGCGGTGCTGTGTCTGATGTCTGCTGTGGGAGCTGGGTGACACCCGGCCTCGTGTGTGCTCCTTCAGTGGGAGAGGATGTGGTCTTTCCTGCTCCTTACAGCGGTTTTCAGCCCTGGCTCTTTTTTCGCCATTACCTAAAGACCTCTTGCATTTCAAGATAGAAATTGCAGAGGTTGTTGATGGCAACTGTTTGACCTGAATCAACACGAGCGTGTGGTTCTCCGGGTGAGTGGCTGTGGTCTGCATTGGAGATCCCGGTCTGTGGAAACCTGCCCTGTGCCCAACTGCAGCTCCTCCCTGGTGACACAGAGCAGCACATCGTTGCCTACATCCATGCTATATCCATAGTGTGTCTCTCTAGGACTGGGGCAGGTCCACACCCTGATGGCAGGGTTGTTGGCAGGGCCTCTCACTGGGACCAGACGTGCACCAGGGCTGTGGCACTGTCCCAGATAGTGTGTTCCATTGACAAAGCATCTTTCTGTCTGAGAGTTGCCTTGGTGCACAGCTTTGTTAGTGAAAGGTGTGTGATCTCTTCCACACTCCTGGCACAGAAGCTCCTGGCACAGAGGCTTCCACACTCCTGGCACCTGCGGTTCTGGCTGCAGGCTACAGGTGCAGTGACCAGCTCACAGGGCAGGTAGGGTCCAGCAGTTCCACTGGGCTGCAGGCTCTGAGCTGACATCCTCTGCTGAGGAGCACCATGCTGAGCTGCTTATGGAACAGTTCTTCGAGCCTTTCCTAGTTTGTTATAGGCAGAATCTTGCAGGTTGGCTCAGATCACCAGTTAAACTCATTGATGAAGTTGGCTGGGAAGCGTGTGCTTACAGGCTGCTCCATAGGGGAGGTGGGTGTCAGTAATGCTGATAGGTGTTTATGAATCAGGGCTCCAGAATCCCCACTCAGTGTGTTAGGGAGGGGGACAGGACTGACTTTTGTTCAGGTTTTCAGCTGTGTGACCCTGGGATGGCTCCCTGGGATCCCGTGGGCACCAAGACGTTCAGTAACCTGTCTTTATGTCACCTGCACCAGCGCATAAGAGAGTCTATGTATTCCATTTATTGTTCTTGACTTTAAGCAGATGCTTTGAATGTCTCATCCTTGGGAAGTGCTCAGGCCCTGGGCAGTCTGGTCTGGGGGCAGCCAGCCCATGGCAGTGATTGGGACTGGGGGGGCTCTCAGGTCCCTTCCAGCCCAACCACTCTGTGATTCAGTGATTCTCAGTTCTGTCATTTGTGGGTTTTGTTTAGGTCAAATTAAAAACGTAAGTACAGTAGTAAAAAATAAAATTATTTTATGTGTAGCAATTTGAAAATGGTAACAGGCCGAAATGCCCATGTCATCGTGAAAACCTGAGCAGAGTGAGCATCTTTGCCTTTCACAGTTGGTCATGTAGTTTTTGTTTGGGAGGAATGCTTGAGCAGGGCAGTGTGGGTTGATAATCTCCTGCTGATCGATGGGCTGGAAGTCCTGGCAGAATGTCAGCTGTGCTACGGTCGGTGCTGTACTTGCAGGCTTTGCCTCAGCCCTGTGCTCGTGGCTGCAGCTGGCCGGTGGTGCCCATGGCTGTCGTACCACAGTAATGGGCCTCACTGTGACTTCTGCAGTTAAGAAACAAAACAGAACATCGGTTCCTTCATCTCAGATTTAAGAGAGTGGCTGCGGGAACGTGTGCTATCTGTGAATCAGTGCAGGGAAGGCTCTGCCTGACGCTCACCGTGGGTCTGCACATGCCTGCCATAAATGGAGCTGCTGGAAGGCAAGATGCTTTTCGAGCTGTAACCTTTAACAACACGCAGCGGAGCCCACGTCACATCTGATCCGTTTGAAATCATACTCTATTTTCAGGTCCTAAAACAGTCAGAGTTCGTTTTACTGAGTGTTGCTTATTTGTGAAACCAGCTGCTTAGTCCAGGCTTGAATTTCAATATTGAAGAAAGATGGGGAATTCCAGAAATGTTACCTGTGTTTCTTCAGTATATGGAGCTTGTACAGCAGTTTCTGGGTATCTTTTCCCTTGGTCAGTACAGCTGTCCCTTGAGGCTTGCAATGCACTGTGCCTGGGCCAGGTGGTGCCTCGGGCAGCGTGGTGACAGCTCAGAGAAAGAAGCACCTCAGTTGTTTTCAGGGTACCATCATTTTCCTACTCGGGGCTGTAGGGGATTTTAAAGTATATGTATCACTTGTTTCTGTGTGTGAAAATGTTTTTAGTTGGTTTCTGTTTCTGTTGGGAGTATGGTTTCTTTTGAAGCCCCATGCTCAGGAGTAAACCCTCTGCAGAAACAAAGCTAAGGGAGAGCAGAGGTCCCAGTGCTTGTTGCCTGCGCCGCCCTGCGTGCTCCCTTTGTCTTATATCACACGGGTGGTACCCCTGGGTATGAGGTTGTTTCAGAAAGCCATGTAAACATTGCTTTGGAGGTCTGGTTTTAGAAAGGGAATTGGTAAACAACTACAGGACATAAAAGTTAATTTAAAAAAAGGTAGGACTTCAAGAGGGATTTTTAAAAAGGAAAATAAAAGTTTGTTTTTGCTACTGATGCAATTATTTTTGGGAACGGCATGTATTTATGGCAGTCAGCCTTCTCACAGACAGCCTTCCTTCCCTAGCAGCAGGTTTTCCACCCCTCCCCATGTGCCAGCACCTCACCTGACGTGCGTGCTTTGTGTTCTGCTTTTGCAGGAAGCTGTGAGGGCTGCTGAAGATGTCTGATAGTCTGGATGTTGAAGAGAAACCTCCAGCCCCGCCGTTGAGAATGAACAGCAACAACCGTGATTCTTCAGCACTAAACCACAGCTCCAAACCGCTCCCCATGGCCCCCGAGGAGAAGAACAAGAAAGCCAGGCTGCGCTCCATCTTCCCGGGAGGAGGGGATAAAAGTAAAGTATCAGCATTGGGTGGCTGCATCCTTCTCTCGCTCTCTGTTGGTTGCTGGGTTTACGTTCTGCCCGTTTTCTTTCTGTTTCATTTGCAGAACATGATAATTCAAGTCCTGAGGCCTTCTGTTCCAATTACTCTAGTAACATGTTTCAGAAGAGGAGGAGGTATTCAGGCAGTTCCTGCTTTGTCTCTGAGAAGGCAGTGGGACGCACGCACACTGTGCCGCTTGCCTTTTAAAAATACCCCTATGGTTCATTTGGGGGAATCCTTTTCTTTGGATTTTGCTTTGGGTTTGCAGTAAAACCAGAGATGAGATCGTATGCTTTGCAAAACACGTTTGCAGAAGTGAGAAGGCAGTATGCCTGACACTTTATTTCAGTGCTCTTGCATCCCGTGGATGGGAGCAAGGCTGTTCTTGTTTATTCCTATTGCAGTGATAATGGATGCAGAATGGCTTGTTTTACAACCTGCTGGATATGTTCACAGTGTCTCTTAAAAATGCAGGAAACAGCATTTCAGTTGCATTCTTTGAATTGCGTTTGCAGAAGGAAGTGAGTCTTGAGTTACTTTATTTGCAGAATCAAGGAGGTAAACTAACCCTCTTTTTTTTAATGCTGTCAAGCTGATGGGTGCTGAGGGAGCCGACTGATGTCTCTGCAGGGCCACTCTGGATTATCTTTGAAAGGTGGCACATTTCCCAGTGAGAGGGGAAAAAGATGAATGTCACTTCTGTCTTCAAGGAGAAAGTCCAAGGAGCTACGCAACAGTCAGCCTCTGTAGGTGACTGGGAAAACAGTGGAGTAAACTTCCCTGAAAACCATTTGCGAACGTCTAAGGGATAAGAATGTGACCAGGAGTACTGAGAGAACCTTGTGAAACACAATGGTGGAGGAGATGTTGCACCTGGGGGCAAATGGCCCCATGCATCTGTGCACACTGTGGTCGTCCTGTTGGAAAGCACTTCTGCAGAAGCTGTGGGGGTCCTCACAAGCAAGAAGCCAGTCCTGCCAGCAGTGTGCCCCTGTGTCCATTCTGGGCTGCATGTGGAAGTGCTGCCAGCAGGTGAAGGAATATGGTCGACCCTCCACTCCATGCTTTGTGGGAGGATGTAAAGAAGACAGGGTCAGACCTCTCTGCGTGGTGTCCGGTGCCAGTACAAGAGGCAGAGTGACCAGTACAAGGCCCAGTGACCTTGTCCTGAGTGCTCGTCTCTCATAATGTCTGTGGTGGGACAGACCCAGACCTCAAATGGAGCTGGCTGCGTCGCATCCCAAACCGCTGCCTTCTGGGAACAACGTGAATTTTCAGTTGGTTCATTTTAAAGGCCAAAATCAAGCAAGCTGGGGGAGATTTTAATTCCCAGAATGACGTGGGTCACTTCTTCCCCTGACCGCTGGCACGTCAGCATGTCACTGCTCTGAGGGAGCATCTATAAAACAGGAGGTGCTGAGCATGACATACAGAGATGGGAGATCTAGAAACAGCCCCTCCCAGAAATGCTTGGTGACATTAAAAATAGACATAATTAACTATCAGTCAGAGTAGTCTTAGGAAACATGCAAGTATCATGATTTTAAATGTTATTGGGAGTAACATTTAAGAAAGCTAAGATTTATTGCTTAATTTTGATGAGTGAAATAATAAATGGAAGAAATTTAACTTATCTGGCCAAGGCCCTGGAGGTGGTTGTGTGTCATGCTTGTCTGGTGGCTCAGGGCATCAGCTGCCCAAAGCGTGCTCTGCACACTCAGTGACACGGTTTTCAGAGTCATCCTGCTTATAAAACCAGAAGATGATTAATATGGCTGCTCTCATGGGTGCAGTGCTTCGCAGCCTCACGGATTTACAGCAGTAGCCCAGTGCTTGTGCACAGAAATGAAGGAGGTGCTGTGGCAGGGTGTTTGTGACCCATGTGCAGGACCTCACTGGCCCGCCAGGCAGAGCGCAGGATGGCTGTGCTGAGGTGCAGGGCTGTGCAGGGCGGCCAGCACTGTTTTGCAGCACTCTTGCAGTGTCTTGGTATTCAGTTGTGGTTTGAGCACTTCTGCGTTTAAGGCCTTGCTTTGGTAAGCTGCTGATGTCTGTGGGACCCTCTGTGCTTTCATAGCCACATCCCAGAGCACTTGACCTGTGTGCCTTGGCCCAGCTCCTCTTGTCCCATCCTGAGGAAGGTGTCCCCAGGAAATGGAGGCTGAGGAAGCCAAGGCAGAGGTACTGAAACACCTTTCCAGCGTCACATGGGCGTGAAACCCACTCCCCATAACCTATTAAAGCGTGAAGTTGGCTCTTCCCTGTAATGCAGTGGTGGGAGCTGTAGTGGAGTTCACAGTGTTAGCTTTTTCTTCCAGCTGAGAGCTGTTTCCTCAGGAGAACTGAGAGCAGGAAGAGCTGACTTGTGCTCTTCAGCTGTTTGAATACGTCCTTGCTGTGTTGGTTAAGCTACCTTAGTTACTGTGCTGGGCAATAAATCAACACTGTGCCTGAACTGGTGGCTCCACAGGGGCCCTACAGGATATTGAAGCTAAAGAACAGTGTAGTCAGCAGACCCCCATGGCTCACAGCCTCCTTGTAGCTCACTTCTAGTGCTTACCTGCAGATGGAAATGGAGTCTGACTTTAAGTTTTCTGGATGCTCCTGGATCCAGGGAAGAGGGAATAAATAACAGGATATGGTGCTGGACTTGGACATGAGGAGAGCAGCAAGCAGGAGAAGGGAAGAAGAGCAGGCTTGCAGGAGAGGGGATGAAAGAAGAAGCAGGGCAGGATGAGGAGGCGAGCAAACAGGAGGGCATGGCGTGAGGTCAGTCTTCTCCTCTCTGGAGGAAGGCTGCTGCTCAGCTGACTCACACTTCTCTGCTGAACAACTGTTCTTTTAGAGTAATAATAATAATACAGATGATGATGCAGCCTGTGGAAGACAGCACTCTTTGCTTGTTCTCTTTCCATGTAATAGCTGCTGAGGGAGTGTGGGTGGGCCCTTGTGGCTAACTGCTCTGCATCAGCACCGCAGTGTGGGGGGCAATTACAAGAAAATAAAATGCAGTATAGAACCCTTGAATCCAAACAGTCCCTGCTCCAAAGTATTCATGCCCTATTGTATTGTTTTGCCAGCTTACATAAAACAGGAGCAGTGTGGGTTGCAGGGCACAGACAGAAGTGTCAGAGCTTTTAAGTAGTGAAGGAGATAGACAGTGTTGAAAGAAGAATCCTCATTCTGTATCTGGTTGATGCCATGTTGGTGTTTGGAGCATAGGCAGTATGTGTGCAGTCTGGCTTGTGAAGCAGGAGCAGACCATGGGAAGGAGCTGGGATGCATGTCCTCTGTGGGAGTGCTGCTCCTGAGGAGCACTTCCTGTAATGCCTTTGGCTGTTGCTTTAAACTGAGTTTGATGGCCTTTTAAATCCAGATTTCCCTGCATGTGCTTGCCACTGGATGAGGTAGGAGTAGCCAGTTTTGTTATCTACAGTGAAAAATTATATATGCTGAACAAAAGTGACGTCTTCCAACTGGCAACATTTATCCTGGAAATTAAAGCAACAACACCTTTGAGATAAAAGAAGGTTAAAAGCCTTTATGTTATATGTGATATATTGCTGCTATCGTTACTGAATGTCAAATGAAAATAATTCATCAATTAACATTGTGGAGGAGCTTGCAGTACAGATGAAAGGTGACGTTAAATTATTTAATGAGGATAAATGCAACAGTGCAGAGGAAGGATTAGAAACATCCTAAGGACTTTAATTAGGATGAGCAGAGTATCTTCCTCTAAATGAGGCTGTAAGGTAGAAGAAGAAAAATGTGCAAAGAGAGCTTTCCTTTCTTGTTAGATAAAACATTACTTACACTGATTTGCTCCATGAAGCTGTGCTACCTGTGAGCAAAGCAGACGTGAGGGGTGCTGGTACAGCCCAGGGGTGAGATGCTCAGCAAGTGGGCAGGTATAGTAGTGGGACACAGCAGAGTGGTGATTGTATGTCCGTGAGCAGAGAATTGCTTTATGTTAGAAGGGCAGTGCACCACAAGGTGGGTTTTACCAAGCTGAGTCCTGGCTGATGTTGGTAGGAAGGGAAGCTGGAGTCTGAGATAAGGAACAAACTCTTCACGCAGCTGTAATGTGTGTAGCATGGCTGTCAGCAGCGCCGCAACGAGGAGTGTGAAAGGTGAAGATGGGAACTGAGCAATTGCTCCTTTCTGTCCTGCTGATGTGTCACTATGACACACGTATACGCTTTCATATTGCCCTTAATCGTGGTGACGTGGTGGCGTTTAGAGATGCTGATGGAGTACTTGTGGTGAGCACAGCACAAACCTGCCTGGCTCGGGGGCTCTCACAGTCATTAATGTGAAGTCACATCAGCACAACAGAGTGTGATGAGGGCATGTCACCAGGTGGGCAGGGGGTGGTAGGAGGGGCAGCAGAGGAGAGGTGGGATGCTAAGGTGTAGATAACTCAATGTAGTGACACGAGTTGATGTGATTTATTTATTTTCATTCAGTGTGAGCTTTGTGTTCAGCTTTCTGAGTTCGCGTTAATAACTTCCACATTCTGCAAGCAAGCACCATGATATTTGCTCTGCTCCAGCTGTGGGCACGTAACTTCTCACTGAAACAACGAACACATTGGGTAGCGTGGCATTGCCCTTCAGCTGTGTGCAATCTGCCCCTGGCACGAAGGGACCCAGCAAAGAGCTCCGCACAGTTATGTTCACCCACAGCAGAGAAGGTGCTTGGCAAGCCAGAAGCTCAGTGCCTGCCAGCAGGCTGGGGTCTGAGCGCAGGTTGCCTTCGTCTGTGTGTTTGGGAGAAGTTCAGAGCCAGCGTTGCTGTTGCCCAGGCCTGTCACTGTTGCACGTGGATTCTCAGTGCAGCCTCTCAGCCTTTCTTCTGCTTGTTCTTTGTCAGCTTTCTTCAGCAGCTGGGCTGAAGGGAGGTTTGCTGGTATTGAAAGCAAAGGAGGTGGATGACCATAAGGGATGTTGTTCCCATAAGGTATTAGATAAGGAAGAGAGGAGAAATGTGTGGGCTGACTGGCTTCCAGGTCTGTTTCCCTCAGTAAGGTACTTCCCAGTCTGTGAAGGCTGGCCAACAGGCTTCAAAAATATGTTTATATTCCTTGAAACCTGACTTTTATGGATATATATCTATAGTTAGTTGTAAGCTCAAATGAAGCTTTTCCAGTGGCATTTATGGAATTTTGTTGCTGTGCAGATGCTGTGGTTCCTTATGCAGGAAAAGCTGCTGTGTCAGTCTTCTGCTTGAGTGAGGAGCAGGAGCAGGGCCTTCGTCTCCTTCTGAGCTGCCTGCTTTCATTGAACTTGCAGGGACTGGTTATCTTCATATCCTTTCCTCTCTGATTTGGCTGATTCTGATGGATTCACAGCATGCTGGAGAAGACAAACTCGTACAAACAGGCACTGTGCACATCCTGGGTTCTTCACTTCTGCAGAACCCAGAGTAGGAATGTAATGGCTAGAGATGAAAACTCCAGTGAAGAAAAGAACTGATAATAGAATCCATAGTGCTCAGAGGTGACCTAAGAAGGTGACTCCATGACCTTACAGCCCCATGCTTTGGCAACCTCTTGGAAAAAAAAAAACAAAATCAGATATATCACCTTCTAGACCTTCTCAAGACAAGGGCTGACAGGCTGGTATTGCATTAACTTGGGTCTCATGGTCGAGTAAGATAAACTCTGAACTGTTTTTCACACGTAAAATACTGTTTTGAGTGCACGTGATTGTGAAATTTCTGAAGTAAAAAGCTGTGCAGAAAATAAGTGCTTGTTAACACTTTGCTTCTAGCCAATAAGAAGAAAGAGAAAGAACGCCCTGAGATCTCTCTTCCTTCAGACTTTGAACACACGATTCATGTGGGGTTTGATGCCGTCACTGGAGAATTCACAGTAAGTTACTGCTGTGTTGTATATTTATTAAAACTTCCAGTTCCTTTATGGTAAAATAGCTGCCTGTTGCCAGAAACTACAGATGACAGCAGCCAGGCTGCAAAGAGAGACCTTTATTGGTTGAGCTTAGGGCTTGGAGTGTTCTGCTTCTGATTCAGGCTGCTTTTTCCCCAAGGATTATTGGCAATGTTTGCGGAAAATGAAAGCTAGGAAGAGCACAGGTGTACACTTCTGTCAATCCCACCAGCTGTTACAGGGCTTGGTTATTCAGTCCTTAGAAAAGCATTGAAAAATCCCACACATAGTGCATAGTGTGTCTCTCTGCAGACAGTCAGCCCCAGTGTGCAAAGTCCAGCTGCTCTGCAGACAGCTCTTGGAGGTGCTCAGGAAGTGGCAATGTTGTCCATTCATTTTAATCCCGTAATCTTCAAAATACATCCATGGGTTAGGTGCTCAGATGCATTTCTGTGCTAATAAAGTAGCAGTCAGCTTGCTCTACTTATATCAGAAATTACATGAAGCGCTGGGAAAAATGAGTCTGATAGAAGCTCCTTGAAGTCTGCAGGGGACTTCAAAGCATTTTCTCTCAGTCTGTTGCCTGGTGCTGAAACCATTTGTTAGTGAAGTGAGGATGGCAGTGAGTTTACATTTGATTGAGCTGTGGAGGTGCGAGCAAACACGAGCAGTTGTGTGTGCCATCAGCAGTACCCTGTGAGCTGAGTGGTCGGACCGCGTTGTCACTGTATGCCACACTGGTGTGTGTGCTGCATACACCACACAGGATGGGACAAATCATCTTCCCGGACAAAGTACAGCTGATTTCTGGAATTTATTTATCACTTTTTTACTTTTAGTGCCACTTCTGTTTACCAGAAACATTCCCAAAGGCCAGAGGGTTTCTGTACACTGCAGCAGCATTAGCAGCAGTAAAAGGAAAAAAAAAAAAAAGAAAACTTAACGGTAGCTTGTCTTCAAAGGAGTGAAACTGAAATATTCTTGTAATTAAGAAACACAATTACAGTTAAAATATGTAGAATAGTTAATCGGCTTTTTTAAAACAGATGTCACTTGTAAACACTTCTTACAGCCAAAGGAATAGTGACTCCTCCCATGCAGCTTGCCAGCACAGGTCTCATCCTGCAGTCCAAGCAGAGCAAAGTGTCAGCCAGCAAGGGCACGGCTCTGTTAGGGACTTGTGTCGGCCCCTGCAGGGTCTGTGTATGCAAGTGCTGCATTTCATGTCACGCAGGGCATGTTTGATTTGTCCCAGCCTGCGTACAACTGGTGTATCAGCTGGGCAGTCCTACCAAAGGGGCTGCCATGAGCCGTGTCAGCTGAAGTGTCTCGCTGTCTGGTGATCACGCTGTCTCCTTCAGGAGTTTGGAAGTGCCATGGGAATGTGCAGTAAGCGTGTGAATGTGTGGTTTCTTTTGTTTGCTTGCTTTTGTGTTTCTGTTTGTTTGTTTCAAATGATGACAGTTGCTGTGTGTGTTTGCTCTGCTGGTTGTGCAGTGCATTGAGCCATTTGCTAACAGCCAGCAGTCACCCTCCACTGCATTCCCTGATTCCCCACAGCTGCATCTCCAGTCAAAGCTGGGAACACCTGCATGGGCTCCTAAGCTTTGGCTTTCAGGTTTGAGCATCAAGCTGTGTTGTTGCTCCTGAACATATATGTGTGTCGTATGTCCATTTCACTGTGCTTGGGGCAACCACATTTGCTAAGAAATAGGACTGAAAGTTCCAAATAAAACTGGCTTGAAGCTGTTGGGTGGAAGCATGCTTCTAGAGGGTCTTATTGATCTATTTTGAAGAAACATTTTCTGAATGGAGGAAGAAGCGTGGTTTGCAAGGCTTTGGTGTGAGTTCTGTGAGGCATTCATTTTTGAAATGGTTTCCTGATCCCCATTCTAGAACAAAACATGTTCCAACTTTCTGAGTTTCACAATGATAATATTAGCAAGTGGGAGAAAGGTGTGGTGTAGACCCAACGAAGTTGAACACTGTTCCTCTAATAAAGCCTTTCTTTTGAATTGCCTCATTTTTGTGTGGCACTTGCTGATCATTTGGGTTATGACAGCACACAGCCTCCTGGTGTGAAATCTGGATGTGATCCCATGGCTGCTTTCTCCATGGCACTCTGTTGACTCATGCTCTGGTCTGTTGTGATGTTGGGGCTGGAGAAGCATTTTGGATGTGTAGAGCCATTCCGAATTGCTTTATGAACTGGACAATCAGCAGAAGCCTGGATATTTATCTTTTTGCGTTATAAAAATTTTTAAGAATGAAATCCTGAGTAATTTTTCCAGTCACTTGCTGTTGATCCTCAGCAATGTGTTTTTTATAAGGGAGAGAAAAACTGGTATGAAAAAGAAAAGAGGGGAAATAATGCTTCCAAACTTTGCAATGATTGTGATTTTTCTGTTTTCCTAAGCCTGTCTTCCTGTAGCCTGTCCACCACCCAGTCTATTTGATATCTGCCTCAGAGCTCCCATTTTAGATGGGTCTTTCCCCACTTTGGCCCACTGGTTTCACCTCCTACCACCTTCTAAGTTGTCCCACATTCTGTTTTAACTTTCTTTTCTTTCTTTATTTACGTCCATTACAGCCAGATCTCTATGGCTCACAGATGTGCACAGGGAAGCTCCCAGAGGTGCGTCACAGGCCCAAAAGAAGCTTGCATCAAAGTGCTTCTTTGAGATGTCATAGCACTGCAGCAGCAGGTCGATGTGTGTGCAGTAGATTTGTTGCTTGGCTTATCCCACTTTTTTCATTAATCCCAAACTCTGGAGGCCCATGTCACACATTGTTTTGCAGAGAACTTAGGAAGAAGCTATATTGAAATGTTTGTCTCTTGTTGGGGTGGCACCAAGGGTTAAGCTTAAATGCACTTCAGGTGTAGTGTTCCATTCCCAGGCCCTACAGTTTGCTGGTAGATGGTAGCCGTGCAGTAAATGGGGAAAATTACAGGCTCTCAAATTTAGGAAATTATACTGGATATTTAAAGCAATCTTTTGTTAATACAATTCCAATGCAGAGCTGCAGCTTTCAGCGTTCAGATCAATTTTCAAATGCCTTCCTTGTTAGCTGTTTGAGATTTCATACGAGGCATTGGCACTCAGCCTGCATCCTGAATTTCTGCATTTCTACAATGGACAACTTAAAACACTGCAGGAGCTCAAAAAAGAGGCATCCTTTGCAGCAGCAGCTGCGGTACAACTCAGTGTTACAATTTTGAGAATTTAAATGCAGAGGCTTAACCTCTCTGTGGTATCTGATGTGCTGAAAATTATTGTCAGGGTGGGGTTTACCTTTTGATCAGACAGCAGTGATCATTTCAGCCATGTGTTTGCATTATTAAGCATTAAAAATCCAGTGTAAAGCTCCTAAAATACACGGCGTTGTCCACAAATATAGAATAGTCTTGTCATGTCTGCACTGAATCACCAGGAAAACAAGCTAATCCTCAAATCATTATTCCATGGAAGAGCAATGTTGATTGAAAGATGAGATTCATGCACTTTTTTTCCTATCACAATCATAACTTTCTTTTCTTTTTAAAGTCGGATCCTGGTTTTAGCTCTGTATTTTGATAGAGAAGAGAATGATTGCATCTACTGTATATGCTTCTAATTTTAATTGTAAAGCATCAATCAGAATTTCTGAAAGTAATCTTACAGGTAGCATGGGATCTTGGTAAAGATCTGTACAACTGCAGCTGTAGTATGCTCTTAATTCACGTTCTTTCCACTTGACATCTGCAGGGCATTCCAGAGCAGTGGGCCAGGCTACTACAGACCTCCAACATAACAAAACTAGAGCAGAAGAAGAATCCTCAAGCAGTTCTAGATGTCCTCAAATTTTATGATTCCAAAGAAACAGTTAACAACCAGAAATACATGAGCTTTACGTCAGGAGGTAAGTGAACATCCTGCTGCAAAAAAGGGGACGTCCAGCTGAAGTTCTAGAATGTCCAGTGGTCAACAGTCAACCTCAGAAAATCACACTGTGGGATGCTCCACGTGTGAGATGAGTTCATTTGCCCTTTTGTCCTCTGACTGTCATTGATACTCTGACTTCTCGTTTTGGGAACTAAATAAGACACCAGATGGAGCGGTTGCTGCCATCACAGGCATTTGTGGCCAAAAATTGTGTTTACTTTTGTTTCTTCTTTGCATCCTTCTTTCTTCTCAGTTTGGGGTACAAAGGATGTCTGTTCAGTCCATCAGTTACTGTTGGCACCTAAGAGCAATAAGCTCTGAGGAATTTTTGTGTTATTTTATGAAGAATTTTAAAGCTTTTTACATGAGATATTTTTATAGAGAAGATAAGGCTGCTACCTGTAAATGCGCAAAGAAACTGCAAATGGCTGCTTCAGCGGAGCCCAAAACGGGCTCTGGCCACAGGGGAGAAGAAGGAAGGCAGTAATGATGTCCAGAGCAACCTCTGCAGCATTCCAGGAAGATCCTCATGAGCTAGGCATTACCTTGCTAAAGCCTGCAGACATTGGTGTCATTTTTTCTCTTGGTTGTGTATAGTCTGCAAAATTGTAGTACAGCACTGCAAAAACAAGAAAGCAAGAGCAAGTCTGTGCTGTGGTTTGCTCTTTTTTTGTTTCCTTTGGCCTATTTTTTTCATTTTGCTTAACAAGCACTGGCTTGCTATAAATCCAGCAAAAAAAGCAGAGGATTTCCTAAAAGCAGTGTATCTGAGTTCTGTGTTGATGTGTTCTGCTGTTTCTTAATAAGTGAGACACATTCAAAATGAAAATATCAGCAAGGTACATTTACTGTGGTAAAGCCTGTGTTGACATGTTCAGCTAATGAGGGGCTGTCTGCCTCCAGCAGCATTGCACACTTAACCTGCAGCCGTTCAAATCCTCCTTGTAGAAGTCTGGCAGCAGGGTCTCTCATTTCTTCCCTTTGCTGGTTCAACCCATACAGCCTCCAAAACACAGAGTGGGGCAGCAGCTCTGAGCTCCTTCTACAAACTGTGCAGTTCTTTCCAGAAGGTGTTAATATTTGCCATTGTTTGTAGGGAAAGCATCTTTTTCCTAAGGTTCATAATTGAAGAATTTAACTGTCTGTCTTGACACTTAATGTCCATTAAGGTAGCAAGTGCTTCTGTGATGAGTGCTGAATTCACAATAATTAGTGTTTGCTCCCAAACTCAACATTACCCACAGTATGAGGGAGGAGTGTATCTGTGTTCAGCATTGAAAGTAGGACTTAACATCTTGACAGAGCTGTTACTGCACTGAGTTGCAATAAAGTGCCCAAACCATGGGGCTCCCCAGAACCCCTGGGGGTTGTACACTTAGCAAGCCAGAGAGCATCACTGCGTGCAGCTTATTAAACAAACAGCTCTCGGGGGAACAGAAGCATTGGATGTTAAAGAACAATTTGCATTTCTTTTTTTTTAACCATTTTTCTTTGTATTTTATTTACTGGCAAAGCCGGGATAGCAGTAGACTGGAGGAACAGAGGAAAAAAAAACCAACACCCTGCTATATTGTTACTTTGCTTTCTTTGTGAAATCACTCTTGCTACTGCAAGGATGTTGTGAAAGAAAAACAGTGTCAGTGTGAATATACTGCTGTGTGGGATTCCCCATAGCAGATACTGCTTTGTAACTGTGTTGCTTTCCATACACATTGCAGATAAAAGTGCCCACGGATACATAGAAGCTCATCCTTCGGTGAGTGTGAATGTCACCTTTTCCTTCTGTAGTGCTTGGCTGCAGAACAGGCAGTGAGCTTTGGCTTCCGTGAGGTCGTGCTGGCCTGGTGGGCTGCAGGGAGGTACCATCTCAGTGTCTCCCAGAGCACCAATCTTCTAATTTTCCCTTTAAGAACTTTCCTACATATCAAAGTCTGGGTTTGCAGCCAGAAGATTGCTTACTGTTCTTAGCCGTGGTGGAATATATAATTCACAACAATATGCAGTACTGTCTAATTAGCCCGTTTTAATATAGCTTTAGCAACTTACAGTTCGTTTCTATTAAATTTCATGATTTGTCCTCAGTGCAGCTGGTTATGTAGCTGAATATGAATAAGGTTATAATTGATATGTAACTCACTGGAGCCATTGAAAGAAAGTTTTAAGTAATGATTCACTCTAATTAATACTGAATTGCCATAGCAATCCCAAAGATGTACTCATGACATTCGCATTAATATTGACCAGATTTATTAGTGTTAATGTTGCTGCTTTAAATAGCAAATGATTGAGTGGGAATTTGGCCTTTATTTTCAAGTGCTAAGCAACATAATTTTAGATCTGTGATTACACAGCAGAGACGGTGTAGAATTAAATGAAAATCATCTTTGTTTACTTTATTTGTTGTTGTTGCTTTTCAGTTGATGCCTCTTTCATAGAACAAAACTTCTAAAGGCAATTCAGGTCCCACGGGGGCACTGTGGGGCCTTCCAAGTATCTGTCCCCATCTGTGGCATCCAGAGGGTGCTGCAGTGCTCCAGTCTGTGCTGGGGCTCAGCCCTGGGGAGGTGCCCATGGGCAGCATGTGGGCTCATGCTGTCCTGCAGAGCAAACTGCTCCGACAGGAGTGAGCAGCCCTTGCAGTCACTGTAATTTCATTTCACTCCTTAATGGGGCTCTGGCATTAAGTAATATGACATTGTATATGTTCTAGCTGCACAGTTCAGTTCTGTCAGACCAAATGTGGAGCCCAGTGGAAAAAGTAGTTAATAAGAGTTGAACAGAACAGAAATGTGATTATTCCCTTCCTTATTTTTTCCTAGATCATCTTTTCCCCATGTAAGCAAACCGCTCATGATGTACAGAAAGAGATACGCAGATTTAATATATGACAGTGCCATACACCTTTAACACTGCTCTTTAAACCAGTGTTTAGAATATCTTATGTATCAGTCTCTACTTATACATGCCATATTGGTGGCCTTTTTCTCCCTTTACCATTAAAAGGCTGGTGCTGGAGCAGGGTCTCATGGAGCACGCTGTGTGTGTTGCCAGGCATAGCACAGGTATGGCGAGGGGCTCCTGCTGCCTGCAGGGCAAAGCGAGGCAGAGGTAGTGGGGAATCTGTTTGCTGCCTTATGATTAGGGAAGGAGGACAATAGCGAAAAAGGAGCTGCTGAACAGGGAAATTTGGCTCTGTGAAAGCATGCAATATGACCACCCCAGGGGTGAAATAAAAGAGAAACAAGCAGCCTTTCCCTGCAAAATAAAATTCCTGGCAAGACAATGTGGGAGGCTTTGCGTGTTGAAGTGTGTTAATTAACCTAGCCAGCAGACACCTGTTAACTTAATTAACTGCTACCATTTTTGCAATGCCAAAGCAATTAACTAGTAGCCAGGTGGGGTTTCTAGTGATACATTCAAACATTACTTTTGGTAAAACCAGACTTTGAGAAAACTGATGGGAATGTTTTAGCTGTTTTCATATAATTTATCGCTCCAGTGATGTTTGGGCACAGTTCAGGAGCCCACACGTAGTTCACTATGAATAAGTATGGAGTGAAAATATAAAACACTGAGGAGAATTAACAAAGCATGGTAAGCTTTAACCTTTAAGTGGTGGTGGTGGACTGAAGGGTGTGGGCCTTGCTGTAAGGATGCAGAGGCTGTTGGTGATATCTGAGCAGACAGAAGTTGTTCATACTTACCAGACCTCCCAGTGCCCAGTGGTGGCTGTCACTCATGGTACTGTCTGTCTGCAGAGCACAAAAACAGCATCGGAACCCCCGTTAGCACCATCAGTTTCTGAAGAAGAGGATGAAGAAGATGAGGAAGAAGAAGATGACAACGAACCTCCGCCTGTTATTGCACCGCGGCCTGAACACACGAAATCAGTAGGTCCTGGCTTTGGGCAGCACTGCTGTGGTGCCATTCTGAGCTGTGTGTTTGTGGGTGAGGGCTGCAGTACAGCCATGGGCTATTGCTTCACCCAACCTACTGATGCCAGGAGATCTGCTTGAGCTTAATTGTCTAGTTGGGAGTTTCCTGTGATGCTGATTAAAACAGTGAATTTTATCTTAGTGTCAGATAAGAGGTAGCACTGTGTCGTTCAGTGCTACTGCTGTAACAGTGCACAAGTTGGTCCACAGGACCTGTGTAGGGAGAGCAGTCATCAGGTGCCTTTCACACTCCTGTGGGATGTGTAGAACTGTCCCCTGGAGGTACCCCTCCCTCTCCACATGTAAGGAGTTAAATAAACTGCTTAGGGTTGCACTCTTGCATGACAGAAGTTTGGTGAGAAGCATCCTACCCAGGTGTGCATTGTAAAGAGCAGGCAGAAGTCTAAAGGACTGGAATGCAGTTCCTAGTGGAACTTAAAACTTGAGATCACCAATGAGAAGTTAGTTGAGCAGTTGAGATTAGTTGCGATGAGAAAAGGGAAATGCTCTGTTTCTGTTCAGGCACCTGTCCTAACTGATGAAACCACTCCTAATGCTGAGTATTTCTGTTGCAAAACTGTTGCCTTCAGTGCTATGCTGGTGCCATCCCTGAAGTTTTTAAGAGTTCCATTAGATCAGTCATTTTGTATCCCACATAAACAGATGAGCAGAAGGGAACAAGGCTCTCAGACCCCAATACATCTTTATCTCTAGTCTGTCAACACAGTAAATTAACCATTTGTCACCTTCCAGAAAATAAATGAAAATTGAGCCCTGACCCTGAACTTGTATAAAGCTAGCCTTTGTTTTTCCTTATCCACTTGGAGAAGCGGAGAGTGAAAATGAACGTTTGAAGCCCTGGATGTGGCGGGTAGCATCTTCTGGCACCTCTGTTTGAAATACAGTTTCAGGGCACCTCTGCAGGTCACCTTTTTGACATGAACTATTCATTGTCACAGATCTACACGCGCTCCGTAATCGAACCTGTCGCTGCACCAGCACCAGCTAAAGAAGCCACCACTCCCCAGCCTGAAAACTCCAACACAAACACTTTGTACAGAAACACAGACCGGCAGCGGAAAAAATCCAAGATGACAGATGAGGAGATCCTAGAGAAACTGAGTATGTATTCTGTATTTCCTGTTTGGTAAAGCAGCGTCCTGTGTGCATATCTCAAGTACGTGGAGAAGCGTTCATCTCCAGTTCAGTACCACTGGGTCTCACAACTCAAACTGTTACTGTGCCTGTAGGGAGTGGGAGAACACTGTGGGCATTCCTTCTGCCTCCAGGGGCAGCTCTGACTGAGTTGGATTTGCCTGAGCTTCTGTCTGTGCTGAAGGCTAAAGAGGAGATTATTTCTGCTTCAGCAGAAGGCTGTGGCCTAGTGAATGTCCTAGTGAACTCCAGTGTGCTAATGCCCAAAGTTAAAAGAATATTTGGCTTCCTAAATTATCTTAAATTCCTGACTTCTCCCCAGTCATGAGAGCCAATGTATTTTGCAGAAATTTCTTGGATTTGTTTTTTTTTTGTTTTTTTTTTTTTTTGTGTGTGTGTGTTGTTGGTTGTTGCTTTTGTTTGTTTGTTAACCTGTAGACAGTTACAGAATGAAGCAGATTCCTTCAGCCTCCATTGGGTCTCCTCCCCAGGATGTTCTAGTGATGTAGTTACTGGGGTTACCATCATTTCTACCATCGTTTCTGAGCTTCCTGTTAGAAGAATTCCCATTTAGTCAGAGGACTCCTTTGAAGGAACCGTGGGTAGAGAAGAACAGATGTTTTCAGTGTACCCCAGAAGAAAATACTTTTTATAGCAATCCTTATTTTATTTCTTAGCTTTATACTTATAAAGATGCTTCAACGAGGCACACATGTGACCTGACCAGGTAAAACTGCATTGCAGGTGTTTCTCAGGAGCTATAGCCTCCTGCGTACCCACTGTGTATTCCTCAATTTTTGTGGCACTGTGACATAGCTAATTCCCAGTGAGTTACTACTGGAATCCTAGCTGTTGTCCCTAAAGCCCTCCATGGATCATGTAAACACATGAAGCTCTTAGTGATTCTATAGCACAACCCATTTAATCAGCTTCTTGCACATACTAGCTTGCAGCTCTGTGTTATCAGACAGTAACCTGTTGGGTTCTTAAGATACCTTAGCTCATTCTGTGTCTCCTGCTACCTGGTAGCACAGTCAGTGGATTGACTCCTGCCCTCTGTGTTTATCTCAAAGCTGTTAATATTATGCCCAGGCTTCTTCCCAGTAATCCTTCGGAGGCTAATTGCTGCGAAAGCCAACCGTGGTGTCACACATTCCTTCCCTGCCACCAATGGTGCATGTCACTGCAGAGGCTGAAGCCTTTCCTAGCTGTGAGTGCTGCTGGTGTTGGGGTGTTTGTGCCTGCAGGACTGCGTAGGACTGGATGTCACTGCCGGTAGGGGGCGGTGGCGGGACAAGTTCCATGGCTTTGGCTGGGGAGATAATTAAAGAATTAAGGTGTTTATTCCAGAGCAGGAGGTTCACCTGCAGGTATGTCAGCTTATAAGGGGAGAGAATATAGCTTCTTCACCTGAGGCTGTTTGAGGCAGGCTTCTGCCATGAGATCTGCAGGCACGTGCATACTTGAGTGTAAGCATGCGTATTATTTATTGACACTTGTGGACCTCAAATGGAGGCTGAGCCCTTAAGTTACTGCACGTTATGCCTCTGAAGTGTTATGTGCTCTCATAGTTCATTTTTTTTTCTTAAGAACTTGATTGTTGAACAAGGTCTGAAGATCTGCCTTGGGCAAACTGAGATGTGGGCAGTGAAAATCTTTCTTTGCTTTCATGAAGCTATCTGAAATTGTGGCCAGTGCTTGTTTGCAGTAGTCCTGGGCTGATTACATCGAAGCATGTGTGTTGTGTTGGTTTTTGTTTGCTTTTGAACTCACAGCACCTCTTCACCTTGCCGGCTTCCTCTGCAATTGATTTCATGCTTCTTTTATGAAGGTGTCCCCTGCCTTCTTTTATCTTAAATTGCTTTCCTAATTCTTCTCTGCTTGAAATAAGCTGGGCTTTTGTAGAGACAATTTCATTACATGTTTTCCTAGGGAGTAAAGCCTGTAATATTGAGATAAGATCAAACAAAACTCTCTGTAATGAAATCATGAATATGTTCTGCTGCAGTTATAAAACAGAAGTGGCCAAATTGTGCTTTCTTATCCATTTAATTTAGGACTTGATAAAAGAAAGTTCTTAAAGACCTCACAGTAGTCAGTGTGTTAGTCTTGGTCCAGCACAGGGAGCGCTCCTCTGAGCTGGAGCTGCACACAGTCAGGCTGCTGCTTTCAGTGCTGTGCTATTGGACAGACGTTGGCTCTGTCACAGGAAATCAGCCACAATTAACAGGCAGAAGCAGCCGCTCAGGTTTTGAACTGCAGAAGTTTGAGCTGCAAAATCGGTAGTAAGTTTGGAAAATGGTTATTCAAAATGTCTTTTTTTTTTCAGTCTTTTTTTCTGTATTCTTTTCTAACACAAACCTCCATGAACTTCTGCTCTTGGTCCTGATGGGGAAGCAGTTCCATTCATTAGCTGAGAATAGCACCTCACCAGACACTGACAACACAGGGTTTTTCCTATTACCTGCCTTTGGTTAGAGAAAGGGGACCCAGAATCCCCTGATCATATTCCTCTTGGCTGAAGAGAGAGTTCACTGAGAGGGCCCATTTTTGTGCAGCAGACTAAAAGCTTCACCTTCTGTTGCACGTTTTGGTGAGTCCCACCTTGGTTGTGGTGCAGACCAGGAAGGTGGCACTGGGTGAGCTCTCGCTGCATAGGTTGCCTATTGGGAAGGATGGCACAGCCCAGGTCAGCTGCTGGTGCCCACACAGAGCTGGTGGTGCTGTGACTGTTGGAGGTGAGGAGGAGGTCGTGTGCAGGGGCAGCAGCACATCCCTGCCTCTGCTGCAGCACTTGTGTCTGTGAGCACCCTGTTCTGAGGAGTGCTTCAGCTGCAGTAAGGAACCCAACACTGAGGTCAGTGTAACTGAGGTGGAAGAAGCAATGCAGTTGCACCCGAAGGATGTGGGTTACATTGTGCTGATTATAAAGAAAAAACAATTGTCTTCTCTTGCATGGCCTTGATGCCGTTTTTATTTTCCTTTTCGTTTTGAATTTCCATTTGGTCATCAGCTTAGGTGTTGCCATTTGTATTTTTGGCAACTACTGGACCAGAAAAAACAATAGTGTTTTTGAATTACTCCTTCGGATTTGTTTGAGTTTATCAGATTTTGGCTCTTTCACTTGGTACAAGCATAGTATCCTAATTACTGCATTCTCTCCTTCCCACTGCCTACATCTCTGAGTGGGCAGGAAACCAGCAAGCTGTGCATGTTGTTGTTGTGCCTTCAGTGGCACACGTGCTCCAGACTGCTTCTGGACCTCGGCTGCCCCATGCCCCTGGCAGCAGCCCACCTGCCCTGCTTTGTGCATCCTGCACCTGCCCTGGTGCAACCACAGCATCTAGTTGGTGCAGCTGTCCTTGTAGTGCCAGCTCCTGAGGAGTACTGCTGGTCTCCTTACGCAGCATGGCTCTCCTAATGGTGAAGATCAGCATTTGTGCACGGCCGAGTCAGACAAGATGCTTGTTGCCTGGATCAGAGTGAAGGAAAGGAGTGCAGCTGTTAGAACGGCACAAGCAAGGTCTCCTTTGTAACTTAACCCAATAATCAATTATGAGGATCATAGTTTCTAAAAAATAATGTTACAAGATGTACTTTTTTTTTAAAGGGTGGGACCAAAATTTTGGCAAATGACTGAAAAGCTGAGAAGATTTCTACCTGGAAAAACTATACTGTAGGCTTTCTATTCTAACAGTGACATCTGTTTATAACAATTGGTTCCAGAACCCTAGGGGCATTTAATCTTTGAGAACATTAAACCTTCTGTAGAATCAGAGAGTATTTGTCTATAAGGAAGCAAGGCTCTGTTATTTCAGATCTCATCAGTGTTTGTAAACAGAGAAGCACTTGCACTGATACTTGCTCATTTCTGATTTCCATCTCCTATCAGTTTTCTTCTGTGCTGTCAGTTCTCTGTCACACAGAGCAATCTCTGAAGGACTGTAGGAAGCCAGTTTCTGTGGGGCTGCCTGTGCTGCTGCCTGCTTTGCTGTTGTTACCCAACAGCCCACATGCAGCTGGCAGCCCTGTGCAGTGTGGCTGCATTTCTGATCTGTCTGAAGGTGGTATCTCCATTTTCAAGTGAACATCTTTTATCTTTTCTTTCTTTCAGGGAGCATTGTGAGTGTGGGAGACCCTAAGAAGAAATACACTCGATTTGAAAAAATTGGCCAAGGGTAAGTCCAGTCATGGTAACTTATACACAGACATGGGCTGGGCATTTTGCTGCTCTAATAGCAAAGTGGGAACCAGGGCAAGCTCCAGCGCGCTCAGACACTGGGTTAGGATTCTCCAGCCTCTTGCTTCTTACCAGTATTTTAACTGTGGCCAGAAGGAATTGTCAAAGACCCCTTGCTGCTGCTGCAGCAAGGAATGGGACTGGGAATCTGCTGTCCCTCAAGTGTGCAGCATACGTCTTTTAGAATAATAAATCCACACTAGGGAAAGGACAAAAAAAATCTGCTTCCTTGTGTGAGGGAACAACTTACCAAATGATACTTGTCAGCTGAATAAAAGCTCTCAATAACTCTTTAAAATACAGTACTAATAAAAATACTCTGACTGAGCAAATAACCACCCAGTTTAGAAACTGAAACAGACACAAACAAAAACAAAAACAATCAGTAGTAAGGATGGTGTAGATGTGCAGTGTACTTCACATGGAAACTCACTGCCTGCCTGATGGATCACTGCTGAGATCCTGCAGGATTTGGGACTCTATCAAAAATGATCTGCTGAGCTGTTCTCTTTGGAAACCTTACTTACTGTAATTGGGACTGATCTGCAATGCTGCCTATGTGAGGAGGCAAGAACAAGAGAAACACCCAAGCTAGATATCTGAGACACATTTCAAATATTGGCAGATTCCCTGCTTGATCCAGGTTTTCTTCCTTGGCTGTGTTGTAACTCCATGTAATGCCATTTCTGTCAGACCAGGAGCATGCTGTTGCCTGTGCATGGCAGAATGCTGCTTGCTGACATCAGGAGGTGTCATTCTGCCTTCACAGTGAGGTTTGATCTCAGAGTTGCTGACCTACAGCTGATACATACTGAAAAAAGTCAGGCACACTCATGCTCTTTTTCTGGCAGGCTTTTCAGTAGATAAATCTGATTTGATAGGACACTTCTGGGGAGGTGTTTCTTCTCCATTCACTGCATAAAACCCTTTCTGAGATTCTGGATTGCTTCCTACCTGAGTTTTGGTTCTTATTATCACTTGGAAAAATATCACTGGACACTCAGAGCCATGCCAGTATCCAAAGATAAGTGTCAGCTGAAGAAGTGAGATTCAGAATAAACGTGTGAACAGATTCTTGTTGTCAGTCACAAAATGACCGTCGTCCTCACTGTCTTGTTTTGACACTGCTAGGAGTGAGGTTGTACAAAAGTGCCTCAGCAACTGGTGGAAAGGCAAGTGGCCCTGAAAGGACATCGAGATAGGTTTCCTCTGGGATGTTGTGCAGCCAGAAAGTTGCATACCCTTCTTACAGGGGGGCTGGTGTGCTGTGGTAGTGCTGTGGGTTGAGTTAGATGGAAACAGCAGTCCTGGCGGATAGCTAGACCTGTGCTGGCTATCTTTCAGACCTTCATTGGTATTGCAGTGAACACATGAATGTGGGACTGTTTTAACACCTGTTCTCGGACTTCAGCTGTGCATGAAGGTTTTATTTAAGACTTGCTGTAGCTTTTATAATTTAAATTAAGATAGCTTTTCTTCTTGATAGTAGAACAGCGGCTGCACTCAGTAATGTACTTCGTCCCACAGTCCGTAAAGGAGTTGGGCTGGCATTTAGGCCCTCAGTGTTACACTGCAGGGAAGTGAGCAGCTTTTCAGTAGCAGCACTGAGCGGGTGCAAGGTTGATAACTGAGGTGTGGTTAGGAGCAGATTCTTACACTGGGAAAAGTGAACTGAGCAGCCCGTAGTGCCTCGTGGCTCCATGCCTTGGTAAGCAAACAAACAATGGGATGGTTTTTTTAGCCTCGTTCAGTGAACAGCAGCCAGCTGAAGCACAAGTCTGATTCAGTGCTGAATCTCTTCTTTGTAATTTGAGTCCAGTTTAGGACTGAAGGTGCTGCTGACACTGGAGGGAACTTCGTTAAGTGGTGCTTGATAAAGGGGCTGTGTTTGCTCCAGCTGTGCTTAGCTAGGAAAGACAGAAGCAGGACGGAGCCACGAGCAGTCTGGTTTCTGGTGGCTGGTTTGTTTGTAGGCTTTAGCAGTTTGTATTTCACTGCATCTTAGTGAAGCAGATCTCATGGTAGGTTCTGGTACTTGCCTGACTGCATTAAACTGAAGATTCCACAGAAGAGTTTTAAAGTTAGATACAGATCAGAAATTACAGCTGCTTCGAAGCAGAAGTCCCTAATGCAGAGTCACAGAGCCTTTGCAGTTAATTCACAGCCTCACTTAAATTCCTCCCCTTTATCTGAGCTCTTCACAGATGGCCTGCAGCATACCAAAAGGCATCCTCATTTAAGTAACTGTTTTTAAATAAATCCTGACAGGACTGTACTCAGGAGGTACAGCACGGTGTTAGAAAATCTAAATAAATGGTGTTGGCTTTTTGTGAAAACAAATTGGATTAATCTCAACAATTAGTCATAGAAAAACGCATTTGCATTTATATTAAAAGAGTACATAGCATGTCCAATGATAGCATTGTTCCCAACAGCCTGTGCAGGGCTGCTGGTTGAAGTAAGGCTTTCAGAAATATTTCAGCCTGAAATAAACAGAAACAAACCAGGCACTGGGGCAAAAATGAGAAAACTGATGTTGTGTTTTCAGATACTAGGACACACATTCCCACTTCTCAGATCTCCAGACTCTCCCTAGCCTTGCTGCCTGTGCAGCAATGGGTTTCTTAAATGATGGCAGCACACACCCAAAGGAAACAGTGGAGTTTAGAAGGCCACACTGTCTGATAAACTCAAAGGGATTTCCTCTGATGATGGACCTTCTTAGCACTGCAGGGGAAGAACCTCTTAATGAGAGGCAGATGGCAGGCAGTGCATAGCACTGTCTGGTCTGCAGGTCACCTATTTCTGGTGGCTCTACACCACCACCTAAGTCTGCTGTGGAAGCACAATGCAGACACTTCATGTCTGGTGCACCTAACAGAGCAGCTGCTGAATGGCTCTTGACAAAGAGAAGCTGCATTAGGTTCCCCTGTTTTAGGTCACACTCAGGTTTTATGTGGGAGGTCATGTACCTTAACCTGCTCCAGCTGTGATGTCAGGAGGGCTGGAGAACTTTTCCTTGCATGCTAAGAAAGCTGTCTCCAGATCCTTTCTTCAGAGGGCTGACATCTGCGTTTGGGTTCTCAGGATGACTAGAAGCCTCAATTTTGCAGATAAATTCAGATAAGTAGTCTAAGAAGGTGTAGCTAGATTTCTTGTTAAATTTTGTGGGGCAAAAAAATAAACAACAAAAAAATAACAAGAAAGCAAAACACGGGAATTTTTTCCACGGTTTTTTTTTTGGCGGGGGGGGGGGAAGTGAAAACAACTTCCTCCTTAAATTTTGAACTAAAATAACTCAGGAGGTATATTGGAGATGTGCACCTGCCCTTCCTCATCACAATGGACACTGATCTCAGATTCCCCTCCTGGTGGAGGGTGGCTGGCTGTGCTGTGTGCTGCTGGAGGGCTGAATGAGCGAGGGAGGGGTAGGACCACTGCAGGCAGCAGAGATGTCCTGTCAGGACTTGTTCTCACTCCAAGGCACAAAACCACTTCTCATTCTTTGGTTGCTGTTTTGTTTCTAGGGCGTCAGGAACTGTTTATACAGCAATAGACATTGCCACAGGACAAGAGGTAAGCACCAGCTGCCCCAGCTGATTTTGCAGCACTGTGTTTTCCCCTCTGGCAGGAGCTGGGGATGGGTTCTCAGGGTGCCTGTAGGTCTGCAGCACACAGGCTGTTCCTCCTCAGCGCGACTGGTGTCAGCTTGCAAAGTGCATCAGCTGCTGTCTTCGGCTTTTTGGAGAAAGCCCTTCAGTAGCACTGTGGTTCTCTGCCTCTGTAACTGAATGCTTATTGGGCTGTCTGCTGTCCTGCAACCACTGCACAGAGGTGCTGATCAGCAATTGAAGAGGTGCCCATGAGTTCCTGGAGAGGGTTGTCCTGGTGCCCCTGGGCACTCAGTGCCTGGGCTGATGCTTCACCCTTAGCATCTAAGGGCGGTCCTAAGCGACGTGCTTCCTTTGTCTTCAGAACAGGTCGGTGCTCTCCATGGTGTTGTTGGTCCCATCCCAGTACTGTTACGTCTGTCATCCCTCAATGAATATTTTTTAGAGATGTCTGTAAATAAATCTGAACAAGCTTTCAGGCCTGGTTAAAAAATGTTGCCCGTGCCAATGTATTAGGTTAGAAATTTTCCAAATTTCTTTGTTCCCAAACACAGATGACATTGTGCTCTTAGTGAGAATGTTGTGAGTGTAATTTAACTCTGTACTAAAAACTGCCTCTGGGCCTGACCATGTCAGTTAGCAACACCAATTGTAAAACCGAAAGATCTGTGACTGTGGACCTCCAGTGGTGGTCACGGTTTCCCCTGTTGCTGTGAGGAATAAATTGTGTTGCATTGCTTGCTTTCAGGCAGAATTTGTAAGAACTGCCAGAAATAATGCCAGGAGGGAAGTGTTGTCCTTCAGAGAAGGGCACACTGTTTTCATTGCTAGGTACTTGGATGTAACAACTAGCTAATGGATGCTGCTGTCATTTGTTCCCTGTTTATCTTGAGCACTGATTCAGACAGTAATATTGTTTCACTTTTTTTCTATAGTGTGTGTAATCTTCAAAGTATTATAAAAGAACTCATTAAGGAGGAATCGTATTTAGAATGCACTTCTGTTTTGTACATTCTTAAGCTGGTTGACGTTGAAAAGTGAGAAAACTTGGGTCAAGGGCAACGATCTCTGTTGAACAACAAGTTGTGTTTGGGTGTGAGGTCAGTGACAGCTCCTGATGCTGCCTGGTGACGTCAGCCTCGGCCTGGGAAGGACTGGTTGTGGGGAAGTTGGGGGCCCAAGGGTTAAGAAACAGATCTTGAAGAAAAGCAGTGTTAACTAGGATAAGTCTGGATAGTGGCTGATTTAAAGTGATGTCTTAACATTTGTTTCCTTTTCTAAGCTAGAGGTTTTTGAAAACGATGCACAAATCCTGTTGGAGAATCTGTCTGACATCAGAAATGAGAGCAGGGGGAGAGGGTTGTCGTTCTCATTCCATGTTAAGAGCCAGGATTAGATGGGGGTGGCTGAACAAATCCCCTGTGGGGGAACTGGAGTGTCTTAGAGGCTGCTCGGGGCTGTCAGCAGGCACACCTGATCTCTGGTACTGTGAGATTCCACTGATGCTCCACCACCTCCAGTGATTCTCTGTACAGAAGGATGCTTTGTAAGCACTCTTAGAGGTCTGCACGTGGTCTGGCAGCCATGGACTATACTCATAACCCTAGCTGTGCCCATAAAATACCAGTTTTTGAGATGCAAAATCAAAATCCAAGAAGTTAGGAAGTGCAAGAATTTGTGTGTGCGCGTGTGTGTGCGTGTATGTAACCTTAATGATCTCAAGTCAGGAGTGACAGCAATTGCTGATGTAATCATTTGAAATCATACAATTATTAAAGAATTTCCAACAGTTTTTTACGTATTTTCATGTTAATAAAATCATTTGCTGCTTGCAAAATGTGCATGAATAATAACAATGGGGGTAATAAATTGAGGCCATCTTAGAAGAGTGAGTGCAAAGAGTGACCTTTGTGATTTGTGACTGATAGTTTAAAGATGGCTTTCACAGGTTTATAAGGCAAGGCACATATGACTGTGTGTCCTGTAACTGTTACCCAAGCAAGCACAGAAATAGGGGGTTCTAAGTTACTGACTTGCAGTGCCTAATAACAAGACCCTCTGCACAGCCCTGATACATTGTTCCAAGAATGCTGGCTCCATGTTGGTTCTGGGCTTGTGCAACAGACTACTTGAGTTAATGCACTGTTTTCACCGTCATTTTAGGTGGCCATTAAGCAAATGAATCTCCAACAACAGCCCAAAAAGGAACTAATTATTAATGAAATCCTGGTCATGAGGGAAAATAAGAACCCCAATATTGTTAACTATTTAGACAGGTAAGTGATTCTGGTATTCCCACGTAAATGTTCATTTATATACTTCAAGTCAAAGACTGAGAAAAGCCTTTGGTCATTGACAGAAAACTGACCTCTATAAATGTTTGCATACATATATGTGTGTGTGTATGTGCAAATAAGTGTGTGGGAAAAGGTTGGTCTTTGTATGTTGATCCCTGGCATGCCACAGAAGCCCAAACTAGTTGAGGTTGGCAGGGAGCCCTGGGTTCAGCTGCTCCCACCCCTGCTCCAGCAGGGCCAGCACAGCAGGGTGCCCAGGCCCATATCCAGAACCTTTTGAAGATCTCCAGTGAGAATCCACGACCCTCTCTGGGCACTGTTCTGTCACCTGTACAGCACAGAAGTGCTTTTTAGATAGAATATGCTGTTCTGAGAGTATTTTCAAACACTTTGACCACCCTATCTTACTAGCACAACTGCTTGTAGCTCCACTACCTCCCTGTTCTTAAGTTGATCATATTTTTGCATATTATGCAAATATATCACCATAGAAATTATGCTCTTTGGCTTTTCTGGCTGTTTTCCATTGCTGTGAGTGCCAGAAAGACTAGGTTCTTGTTTCCAGACACACATAATTTGCCAGTTTTTAGGCTGTTTTCCCTATTTCTGAATGTATTTATGTAAGGTTTTCCAAACTGTTGGCCATTCCCTGTCCTCTGTGGTACACACATCCCTGCTGTGGTTACTATGAAAGATATGTTGTCTTACTCTTAATTTTTCTGTGTTTTACAATGATGAACCAGGTGATCTGTTATATTCTGATTCAACATTTACCTAAAAACTATGTTTTTCACTTGCTTGCCATCTAAGATGTATAATTTTTTATTTATCTGCCTTTCTCATTTGGACTGCACAGTTTTTTAGCACCATATTTCAGTATTTTCTAGTACTCCATGGCCTAGAAGGAACGCCCATTCATTTTATTCTGTCTTCATTTAAAAATGAGCTGGTAAGAAAAATAACTGTGGTGATTTTCCTAAGACAATGTAGTTACACACATTCATCTTAATGAACTCTACTGTTGTCTTCTTTCAGCTACCTAGTAGGTGATGAGCTCTGGGTGGTTATGGAGTACTTGGCTGGAGGCTCTCTAACTGATGTTGTTACAGAGACATGTATGGACGAAGGGCAGATAGCAGCTGTCTGTAGGGAGGTAAGGGATCCCAACTGCACTTCTGATTACTGGGACAGAATGGTACTTTTAAGCAGGTGCGAAGAACAGGAGTGATGTTGTGTCCAGATCTTTGTTTCTGTGTTGCTTTTTCAACATGGGAGAAGAACAGAGTGTTTAGTGAACTACCTGCCAGTATCACTGCGCTGTGCTTTGGAATTACACTGCTCTCTAAGTTTTACTGTTCTCAGCTTTGCCTCTTCCAACATTTATCTGGAGCACGTCCATACTGCATTTCTTGCCTGTAAAAGCAGACATGCTGGTGGCAGAATTTTAAAATAATAAAGAAAAACAGAGAATCATTTATCACAGTCTTCAGCTTAAAAGGGTGGCGTTCCACCCAAAATGGTATTTGCCTCTGAAAAATGACTAATATGTTATTTCCAAATCCGCTGTAGAACGTAACAGTAAAATCTTTGTCATGCAGCCTTCCACCCAAAAATGATCCGCTTCATCCTGAAGAAAATGACTTTTTCTTTTTGGCAAATAGTAGTTTGTCAAATGGATGAGAATGGCACATCATTTTAACAGCAGTTGTTTGGTCTGTGCTTTTAGGGGACAGTCAGTAACAATAACTGACGTTTCTTTTTCCAAAGTAAACATGCCTTCATTTAGGAAGTTATTATTCTAGTAGTGTTGAAGCAGCAAGCTATTCCTCCTGACAACACCATATTCTGCCATTACTGTCAGTTCTGCTAGAAATTAAATCTTTTATAGCTATTTCCTTTCTTGTGTGATGAATTCAGGTCATTAATTTTTACCCTTGTGTTTTTTTTATATCTATCAGTGCCTGCAAGCACTGGATTTCCTTCATTCAAACCAAGTGATTCACAGAGACATAAAAAGCGACAATATTCTTCTCGGAATGGATGGATCTGTCAAATTGAGTAGGTATTCCTGGCCAAGCACAGCTTTCCCAGGATGGGGTGCAGGGCTGCATCTGACTGACTGCTAGTTACCCAAAGGAGTGCCTGTGATAGTGTACTGAGCACTGCTGCAAGCTAGGAGCTCAATTCCAACACACAGAGAAATATGGAAAGGAGGAAGGTGTAATATCTGTCCTTTATTTGTGCATGCCCTTTCCAGAGACCAGAGTTTATCATCTGAAGTCTTGAGTGCATAAAAGTCACTGCAGTGTAAACAGCCGTGACCACTTTCCCAGCTAGATTCAACAAGACGTTCTTAGGCATAAAGTGGGTTCATACTTTGGCTTCATACATTGGCTTCATACTTCTAGATGGCTTTAACAACACTTGTTTTTGTCCTCAGCTGATTTTGGCTTCTGTGCTCAGATCACCCCCGAGCAGAGTAAAAGGAGCACAATGGTCGGGACTCCTTACTGGATGGCACCGGAAGTGGTGACAAGAAAAGCGTATGGCCCCAAAGTTGACATCTGGTCACTTGGGATCATGGCAATAGAAATGGTGGAAGGAGAACCTCCTTACCTTAATGAAAATCCTCTCAGGGTAAGGTACAAATAGAACCAGACACCACTGCCTACTTAAGCTGTCCCATGTTTAGAGACAGAATCCCAGTTACGTCAGCTTGGACTGGTTCCAACAAGGACAGCCTGTAAGAACATCACTGGAGCACATCAACATGAGGGAACCCTAACAGACCAGTAACGTGGAGCCAGTTCAGAAATCCCTTGGCTTTTATGTTAATGATGCAGAATTTCTCAGGCAGTTTGTGAAATCTCTGTTAGCTCCATCTCCGACAAGGATTTTTCTGTGGCAAATTTCTCCACTGATGAATCTGTATGAAAAGAGTTTCAACTATATCTGCAGGCAGAAGTATTTTCAAGCACAGGTCAGTGTAGATTGGTTACCTCATCCTTTCAGGAAGTGTCATTGGTTATTGTAATGCTATAATTTGTATTACCAATGATTTTCTAAAATGCATGGATACTTGCAATAAATAAATGAATTTTTATTTTGAAGTTTTCAAATTTATCCCAGCTCTTAAAATGAAGCTGTAATAGGGGAGGAATGTATACTAAGGAAAACACTGATAACGGATAAACAGAGAAATGCTACACAGTTAATTCCTGATGGGAGACAGGAATTTGAGGAAATTAATCTTGGACCTACATATATACATGATTTTTAGTAAGGCTAGAACTGGTATGCAGCAGGAGCTTTAGTTATGCTCACAGTAGCAAGGATGCACTCCATCTGGCACCCAAACTCTATGATACAGACTGAAAGAACAAACAAAAGCTACAAACAGCTACCTGGCCATGCTACTTAAGAAATGCAAATGGTAAACATACAAACTTCAGTCTTGTGTTCTTTCTGAAAAAATGTTCCTGGGTCTTCTTGGAAACAGGTGGAGTCTTGCATTTCTGTTTTTCCTAGGCACTGTATCTGATAGCTACAAATGGGACACCAGAGCTGCAGAACCCTGAGAGACTCTCTGCTGTGTTTCGTGACTTTCTGAACTGTTGCCTGGAGATGGATGTGGACAGGCGAGGGTCTGCCAAGGAGCTTTTGCAGGTGACATGGGAAGTGGCTGCAAGTAAAGTGGGTGCAATATGTAATGGCATTCTCATCAGTTAATAAGTGAATGTCAGGGGGGCCAATGGTGAGAGTACTCAGGCTTATCCATCCTGCCCCACTTCTGAGGGCTTCTGCCACTGAGATAAGGACAGCTAAGTGGGACTTGTTACTCACTGTCTATGTCTATGCCTGGCATAGCTGGGTAGGTGAGAACTGCTACTGTTTTACTGCCAGGTTTTGTGGCAGGCATAAACTGGTAGACAGTTTTGCAGCATGGAGTGTCTGTGCTGTGAGTGTCAGCTGGGCACAAGGAGGGGCAGGTTGTCTCCTTACTCCAATCTCGGTGCCTGAAAGTTGGACCTCAGTAGCTTTCACAACTTCTAGTGGTATTGGAGTTCCCTCAGAAATGGCTTATGTTCCCAGTATTCCTGGACAACTAAAATAGCCTGTGTCTTTAGAAAAAGGAGAAAGAAAAAAAGAAAGCTAAGTATTTGAAGTTCCATGAAAGGAACTAGGCTCTTAGGACAGCAAGTAGCCAGCCATGACTTTTCGAATATGGTGGAAAGTAGCTTGGCAATCATACCAGTCAGGTCCTTTGGGACCCTAGGTTGCATTTCATGAAGCCCCATAGACTTGTACAAATTCATGCTCATCAGGTGGTCTTGATCTTGCTCTTGCAAAGAAGGTCTCCACAGTCCTGTGTATCCCTAGTGAATAGAAAAATACTTCTTGAGCCTGTAACTGACTTTGGAAGGTAACGTTTTATTTCTCTCTTTCCTTTGGGCAGCATCCATTTTTAAAATTAGCCAAGCCCCTCTCCAGCCTGACTCCTCTGATCATTGCAGCAAAGGAAGCGATTAAGAACAGCAGCCGCTAGTGCTTTGGGCTGGTATTCTCCCGTGCCAGCTCACTCCAGAGCAGGACTGAGAAAAAAAACTCTATAGAACCTCAACTCTTCTGCTGCAGGACGGACGGACGGATGGATGGATGGACAGACCAACAGTCGCAGTCATGGTGGTAGGAGTGGAGAACAGCTGTTCTCCAGTCCCTCAAGGAGTAAAAACTTACGTCTTCTTCCTGCTTTCTGGCTCCTTAATTTATTTTTAAGATGAAACAGGGCTTAAGACAGAGGTAATGACAGAAAATGCTTTGCTGCCTCAGCCATTTCCAAGGTAAAGCAAATTCAGTTGGAAGATTCCCTTCCTTCTCACCCTGTGAATAAGCTGTACATTCACTTTTAAATTGTCAGTTGTTTCTTAAAGATGCAAAGTCCCTTTTATGTTTTGGGGTTTTTCTTGTACGGTTTGGAATTGGAGAAGGGTCTTAATTTATAACTCCAGATTATACTGCCTTTAGAATACAGCCCACTCACTGGTATTTGCCTAGTCATTACACTTCTCAATGAGGAAGAAAGTGAAATTGCATTTCCAATCAAAAACAAATCAGGAGTGGAGCAGTCAAAACATCCTGTTGAGATACAGGCTCAGCTGTGAATATATAGTGTTTCTGTTCTTGACATTTTCATTTGTAAAACTAGTTGTAATATGGGTGAGAGTCTTACTAAATTGAGAAAGCAGAAAGATTGGTTTGCTCAGAAAGGGCTTGTCTGATGCAAAGCTGTAAGAGAAATGTGAAGTGAGAGCAGGCCCAGCCTTGTGCAATGCTGAGCCTCATGGACCCCTTTGCAGAGTTCAGAGCAGGCTCAGGTCTGTGAGCCCAGACTGGAGGAAGGTGCTTGCAGCAGCAGGCCATCGCTGGGCAATCGCCTCTTCCTGGCACTGCTCTGATCATAGTGTCAGCTCCAAACTGGCAGCAGGCAGCTCTCGAAGTTAATCGTAGCTCTGCTGCAACATGTGCAGAGTGGTGGGAGTAGCCTTCTTCAGTTTGTGCAGGAGTTGAAGAGAGGAAAACAGCCTGGGTGTTGCTGTCACTTCTGAGGATGTCTGCTCTCCTGGTCCTCTTATAGCTCCCAGGAAAGGTTAGTAGCATCTGTGCTCCTCTTAGCAGAGGGGACGATGGCCAGGCTACTCTGCAGGCTTTTGGCAGGTGAGTGTCCTTTTCATGGCAGAACTTGCACGCCTAAACTGCGACACTGATGCAAATGAGTGATGGCTTCCAGGATTTGGTTCTGCCTGAGTCAGTCCAGCAGACAACTCTGGAAGAAAGCGCATTTAAACCTGGAGCTCTGCACTGAGCAGGAAATACACAGCAGGTTGCAGAACTATACAGAGCCACAAAACCAGCCTGCTATATGTCCTCCTCCACACAGCAAGCACTGCTGCAAGCAGTTCTGAATTTCTGGGAGAGAGTGAGCCCTGGATGTGACAGGATTGTGCTTGACTAGTTTGCTGATTTGCAAGAGAGCAGAACCGTTTTAGTATGCCCTTTGTGTTTTATTTTTTTCTGAAAGAAAGGAGTGTAGCTTCACTCAGAAAAAGCATTTGTATGGATTATTTGTTACTGTATTTTAGTAGTACAACTAATCAGAGACCTTCAAAACAGCAACTGAATCAACACCTATATCCGATGAGCCAAAAAAGGAGTAAAACAGCTTTTTGCTGTAGTTCATGCTTTAGGCTTGCTCCCACAAAGGGCAAAGCAGCCTTTAAGGTACTAAAAACCTTCACGTTTTGCCGGTACGAATGAAGGATGCTTGGGCTATTCTTGAATTAGGCCATTAGGTTGTCTGGTTTTGTCGTCTTATTTAGTTACTATCTTTGTGTTGAAAATGTCATTAATACTGCTAACCATCCCACCCCCACTCACTCTCTCTCTCTGTCCCAGTCTCTTTGCTGAGGCAACAGACAGAGGCAGTGCTCACTGAAGTTCACAGAATCATAGCATGGGTTGGGTTGGAAGGCACCTGAAAGCCCATCCAGCTCCAGCTGCCTGCCATGGGCTGGTTGTCCCAACCCAGCTCAGGCTGCCCAGGGCCCCATCCAGCCTGGCATTGAGTACCTCCAGGGATGGGGCACCCACAGCTCTGGGCGGCAGTGCCAGTGCCTCACCCCTCTCTGAGTAAAGGATTTCCTCCTAACATCTAACCTAAATCTCTCCTCTTTAGGTTTAAAACTGTTCACCCTTGTTCTGTCACTGTCAGACCATGTGAGAAGTCAATCTCCCTCCTGTTTATAAGCTCCCTTTAAGTAATGAAAGGCCTCAAGGTCTCACCTTCCTGGGGAGCACAACAGGTTTGATTTTCAGCTGTCAAATAAGAAAAGATGTTTGTTTCTTTTGCAAGCCTACGTTCTTCTCTGTCAGCTCAAGCTATCTATCTGGGAGATGGGCTTCCCTGAGAAAAAAAGAGGCATTTGGACTTGAGAAGAGCTGCCCTCAATCTGTAAAGCATTAATCGGAATAAAGCATTTTTATTCCACGTAAGTAATGAAGAAACTAGTGGTAGTTTCTCCTTCCAGTATAGCATTTATTTTTTTCCTACCCACAAAGGAACAGATGGCCATCTTTTAGAAGGAAAGCACTTTTTTATGGCACACATTTGCTGGACTTACGATACCCTTATGTTAACAGATCACACTGCTTGTTCTTTTTTTTTCTGTTTATTTTCCTTAGCACATATTTCAGCATCCCTACTTTATCAGTTCAGTTTCACAAAAGATAACAAATAAATATAGAAAATTTGATGATAGCATTATTCTTTTTCTGATCAGTGTATGCTCCAGCATACAGAATATTGTTGGCACTGGCTTTTTAAATACAACTTCTTTAATAAGAGGCCTTACTTTTTATTTTATTAAATATTTATTTTTCTTTGCATTTGCAAATCTAAAGATGTTTCTGCTAAAAATAAATCCTGTGAGGCAGATGATAGGATTCAACAGGAATCATCTCTGCCAGTGGCTTTTTTTCAACGTGACTAATTGCCTATCTGGGACTGCTTCACATTCAGGGCAGTGCACCTCTAGCATCCCTGCCCTTCAGACAGCCTCTGGCACAAAGTTCTCAGTCATCAGGTACTGAAGGACGGCAGCTGCTTTTATCATTTCCCAACTCTGATGGGAAATGTGGAATAAAATAGTAATTAAGAAGTCTGTCCTGAAAGGGGCAAGTCTTGTACATTATTTACAAGTAGGAAGCTAGGACTGACAAAAGAAGTAACTTTCCACGAAGAAACAAAGCAAATATAAAATCTCTGGAATCATCTCGGGTGTTTCTGGACTGCTATCTTCAGATTAAGCAATTAGTTGTTATATATATTTTTGAAAGTATTAGAAATAGGCCGTTTTGTTGCCAAATGCATAGACAAATGTTGTATGTTTCAAACACTTTCATTCCAAGGTTATAAAAAACTGGTTAATTGTCTTTATTTTTAAATTCATTAAATGGTGGAAAAAAAAAAGCAAACAACTATCTTAGAGCTTGACTATGATTCCTATCCCTGCAATGAAGATGTGTGAAAATGACTCGTTAGCTTGCTGTGGTTTTAATGAGTTCCGGGACAGAAGTATGACAGCAGTAACGTCAGGGAAGCTTGAGAAGCACAGAAAAGATTATTTATTTAACAAAAAAAGAAAAAGAGAAAAAAAACCCACAAATGTACCTATTAAGAATTCCACACACGCTCCTAGGAGCCTGCATGGGGGTGGATCTCACAGTGCTCTCAGGGTTTGTTCACAGACTCGGGCCAGGGTTGCATTCTTACTTCTGTGTCCTGCACTTCTGTAAATGTGTCTGTTCTCCATCTTTGGATACCATTTGGCCGACTTGCGCTGCACAGAAATGAGCTCAAGTATTATTTTTTTTTAGCTGCTTGTGTTGGATTTCTCTGGTGCCAGCGGCTGCACCTCAGCAGGTCTTCAGTTAGTGCCCCCCCATATCCTGCCACCAAAAATAAAGCATGGTCCAGTCACCACAAGAAGGGAAGTACCTTATTCTCTCCTCTCTGCTAGCTGTATCCTGTTATCCATGGTATAGTCGCTGTTTTGGCCACAGAGCATTCCTCACGCTGAGCTTGTACATGTATGCGTTTGTCTGCTCAGTGGCGTTGGTCATCACAACTGGACAAGGATTCAGAGAGACCTCTGCCAGCCCCTATCATGAAACACAGGAGTCAGTTGTTCTTTGCTTGGCACCCAGAGTGTATGCTAACCAGCTTAGCCTTGCTAAGAGATATGGAGAGAGTGGTCCACAGACCTTCTTGGCAGACTGCTGTTAGTACACATGCAGTAATTTAGTGACGGGGCAAGCTGACGAAGACACAGATTTTGTTTTTTTAACTGAGTGGATAGGTATCCTTAATTCTGAAGCTCTGGTTTTCAGGAAACAAGCAAAGAACTACCTTTATTTTAAGGGAAAGCATTTGAGGTTTCTTTGGATGCAATATGCAATTCTTG